GGGGGCTTCTGCCCAAATGGCAGTTTTCATACTTCGGACACTTAGCCTCATTTTCACAGAAGCCTGTGAGGCTTAAGCATCATTAAACATTTTTTTCCTGTTATGTTAAGGTTAATTAAAACTAGCTGGTATAACTTCTTCTTATAAAGAAATCATCATATGATTTTTTTCTTTCACATTTTAGAATCAATTACAAAAATAAAAGTTTTTTTTTTTTCTCTTGGTCCTCAGCTATTTGAAGTGATGGGTATTAGTTCAGAGGGCAATCCATTAAAGAAAAACAAAAACATTATTTTCTGATTTTCAGAAATCAGGAATGTGGTATTTTACAGACATGGTGTAGATGATGTTCTGGAGTGATAGGTACTTCCTCAAACCAATTGGCTACATAGGTGCTTGTTTACCTTTTTTTACATGGATATTCTGTCTTATTTGTTTAGTTAAATATAGATCAGGATTCTTCATTTTAGGACCTTTCTTTTCCTGGTCCCATCTCCAAGGCTGAGAATGCCTTCCTCACTCCTTTAGACAAGGTGCCTTCCAGCCTTGAATGCTCTGGCCTCAGCAAATGGCATGAGTTTCCATTCCATGCTGCTCACCCAGTGACCTGCCACAGTGGCAAGCAGGGGCCCAGTAAACATTTGCTGATGTAGACTGTTTTCCTCCCACAGCCCCACGGGAGTCACAGGAGGAGAACGGAGCTCAGTGAGGCCTTTGTAGGTTAAGGACCACAGGACTTCTCTGCCAGGGCAGTAAGAGCTGGAACCAGCAGTTACACTTAGTCTCTGACCCTAATTAGGCAGGACCAACTGTAAAGTAAGGGCTTCTCCACGACACCATACTTCTGCCCACAACAGCGTATGGCATGGTTGTAGCTCCATTTAGGATCCCTAGATATTCCGGATACGTGGAAGTCCAGCGCCTTCAAACTCTGGCTGTTGGTCTCACCTGTTACTGCCACCCTGGAGATAACTTGGAAGGTTTGGCAACCTGCTAACACTTTAGCATCCTGTGGATTACACTTTGGAAAACATTGGTCCAGCATATCCCAGGTCTCTTCCAGTGCTTACACTGATAACACGCAGGAAGAGCAATGCACTATTTTGTTGCAGGTTCTGGGGTTTAAGAGTAGCTTTAATGCTCTGGAGTTGACAAGGAACTTATTCACATTAATTGGTCCTTTGAAGATCAACACAATTCCCTTGTTCCTAACGAAAGTCTTCATTCAAGGAAAGAGATGATGACCGTCACACAGTCTCGGCGGCCACCTACAGCACAGCACACAGAACTGAGCAATAAGGATCAGTTATCTTCAGTATAGTTTAGCTTTCCTTTCCAGTATGGTTTGACGTTTCTCTGTAGCAAATGCTTTGGGCACTGTTCCTTGGAACAGTTCTGCCCACCCTTCACAGGATCCCTGCCCATCCTCTCTTCCTTGTCCAGGATGAAGTCACTGTGCAGGCAGACTGTCATGAGTCCTCAGGTTAAAGAGCTGCTCTTCCAAGAAGGCACCCCCAAGGCCATATTGTTCTTTATGGAGCCTCACTTCTTCAGGCGACAAGTGGCTTCCTCCGAGAACAAAGTCTGCAAACTTTTTCGGTTCCTGGAGCCTGGAGACAGCCAGCCAGGATGGGAAGCCAGGGCTGCGGCAGGCCTGGCGGAGCTCCTCCAGGGAGCAGGTTGTGTCGGCATCAGCTTGTTCCCTGTATTCGTCTTCAGTAAGAAACTTCACCGCCAGCTTCTCTGATGTAAACCATTTCTTCATTTTCCTCCCGACACAGGTGAGTGCACTCCGCAGATAGCGCCGACTCCCAGATGACAGGATGAGGAGCAGGGCGGCCGTGTAGGCGAACTGGGGCACGGACACCTCCGCGTACACCAGGAGCAGGGATAGAAGCTGCAGCAGCCACGCCAGGAGCACTACGCTCCTCTCCTCCACCAGGGGCCCGTGCTTGTAGCAAACAGCAAAGCTGACACAGCCAAGTGTCAATACGTAGCCTTAGGAATGAACTTTTTCACCAGCAACAGGACAAAGACTAATGTCATTAGAACACCTAGCACAGTCCCCGAAGAGTAGAAGAAAGCAGGGCTTTGACTCAAGGTCTTTGCATAAAAGAAGAGGAGAATTCCCACCACAAACACAAAGAACAGTTTGAAATCCACAATGTTTTGTTTCACACTTATTGTAAAGATAAATGTCTTCCTGGCTGGCTTCACAGAGAAACAGACAGTCTCTCCATATGGATGGATGATTATGGTTATATCATTAGACTCCTCTGGTGTCCAAAAGTTATGAATCATACATTTGATGATGGATAGAATGGTTTCTGGATACTGGCAATTATACCTTTCTGTGATATATACAACACTGAGCAGGCCTGAATTGGTAATTTTCACCTGAGAGGGCTGCCGCCTCCTCTTCCCAGCGCTCGGCGCCCGCAGGCTGCGCGGCCAGAGACGGCAGCCAGAGCAGCAGCCAGCACGTCTCGGGGCGCAGCCTCATGCCGCTTGAGGGTCAGCTGCGCGCCGGTTATTCTCTTTCATTACTTGAAGTATGTCCTGCCATTCCCTTCTGGCCTGAAGGGTTTCTATTGATAGATCAGCTGTTATCCTTATGGGAATCCCTTTGTGTGTTATTTGTTGTTTCTCCCTTGCTGCTTTTAATATTTGTTCTTTGTGTTTGATCTTTGTTAATTTGATTAATATGT